GGCCTGCCTGTCTTGCCCTAGGTGAACATATGGTTCCACATCCCGAAACGCCACCCGTAACAAACAGCAGCTCCGTTGTGACCCCCGTGCTAAGCTCCCCGGCTGCCCCCCACCTCGTTGGTTTGTCCTGCTGCCTTTGCGGCACTTGGCACTCTCTACCGTTCCCTCATCATTCATTTGTCTGTTTCTTGTTTTGCTTCCCCCTCCAGAGTCTAAGCTTTCCAAGAGCAGAGCTTCCTGTCTTATTCACGGCAGTAACTTCAGTGCCTAGAGCAGTGGCTGAAGTATGACAGATGCTCAGAAATATTTTTTGAATAAATGAAATTCCACACCCTTAAAATCAGTGTTTGGAAAGGCTCTCTTCTCTCCCTGCCTGCTTCCCTGAGGCTCCCACACAGCCAGTTCTCATGCCCCCATCCCAGCCCCACCCTCTCTGACCTCTAGATTTATGTGTTCAGTTTTCAAATGGACATCCCCACTTAGATACCCCAAACTGAGCTCATTAGCTTTCCCGCAAACTTTTCTCTTCTGTTCCAGGTGTCCATTGCTATGAACAAACTCCACCAAACATAGAGGCTTGAAATCGCAACAATCGTGTATTTTGTTCACAGATCTGCGGTATAAGCGGGTCCCAGGGATGGCTTGTCTCTGCTCTGTGCATGTCAGAGGGAGAGGTGCCAAGGCTGGGGGCGACTTGACATCTGGGGCTGGAATCACTTGGAAGCTGGCTCCCTCGAATGGCCAGCAGTTGGTGCTGGCTCTTGGCTGGAAGCTCAGTTGGGACCATTGGCCAGACACCTCCACGTGGCTTCTCTGTGTGACTCCTTGGCTTCCTCGCAGCATGGGGACTGGTGTGAACATCTTAAGAGGACCAGACAGAAGCTGTAGTGCTTTTTGGCGACTGTGTCTTAGAAGGCACGTGGTGTCAATTCTGCTCTAGTCACAGACTCATCCAGAGTTAAGGGGAAGGAACATACGCCCCACTTTTTTGATGGGCAGAGAGTTAACACGATATCGTAAGAGAAGCATGTGCGGTGGGGATATCGTCGTGGCCATCCTGGGAAGTCCCATCGGCCACATCGTCCATGTTTGCTTTCTCACCGCTCACCCAGCCGCCCACGCCAGGTGCGTGAACTTCATTCTCTTCTCCTGCCTTACCCGGCACGTCAAATCAGAAGGTTCCCTGGACTCTACCGCCTCCGTTTTAGCATCTCTTTTCCTCATCCCGGCTTTTCACTGGCTGGCCATCGCGTTAGTGTAGGCCTCACTTAAGACCTGTCCGGCCGGCTCTCAGCACCCAGCTTCTCTTATGCCGTCATTCTCCTCTCCCACGCGATAAGCAGAGGGAAGCTGAAGAATGCAAACTGGGTTGTGTTACCCCTCGGTGACAGTCCTGCTGCGGCATCCCATAACCAGAGCACAAAGCCAGAGGACGGGACCGCCGTGCCTTGGCTTCTGCTGACTTTCCCAGTCTCCTCTCCTGGCTGGTGCCCGCTCCGCATGTCCCCTCCTGGCTGTCCTCCACAGCAGCCGCGCTTCCAGCCCCTCTCGCTCTCAGGGAACACAGCATTGCAGTGGAAGTGTCACTCTGTCCTCTAAGAAGATTTTCCCGAGACCCTCAGCCTGTCACCCCAAACCAACCACTCTATGTTCTGGATCTCCAGTGTATCCCAGTTAAGTAATCCCCTCCCTGGAGGAGGCCGTGGGCATCGTGAGCTGAGCCATCCCCAGCACCGGACACAGGCGGCGTGTGTGCACGGTGAGCAAGCATCAGGGAAGGTGGGTATCAGTGACGGCCAGCGCAGCCCCTGGAAGGTTGGAAGTGGTCCCCAGGACCCTCCACGCTGCTTCTGCTGAGGTTAGGACCCGTAAGGTCTTCACGGCAGGTGTGGGCGCTGGTATGTTCTCTGTTAGGCCTCAAACGGAAGACCGCTCAGCCATCCTACAGCTGTGAGCAGATAGATCCCTCACTGCCTCTGGGAAGGTCCACGTTGGCACTTTGAATCCATCATCTGGCCCAGGTCACCTCAAGACTGAAGCCGTCCCTGTCCTCATGCCAGGAAGCTTCCATAGCTTGATAAGAAATTCTCATTTAAAGGGAAATAACTAGAGTCATCCTCCCCTAGCTTCGGCTGTGAACAGTTTGACAAAAAATGAGGCAATGCACAAGACATTTAACGTGTCCAGAATTTACTATGTAAGACAGAGGTACTAAATGAACGATGGTCACCAAGCCTTTGCAATCTCACTAATAGATAGAAGAGATTTACCAAAAGCTACCATGGTTCTTAGCCTCCTCTTTACCTAGTAGGTTATAAAATACCGACAGGGACGAATCACATCTCCATGTTTGTGATACTGCTTGGCACCATGAGTTACTTTGTAGTTACTGTGTTTGTAGGGTGTCAGCTGCCCTTTGGTGGCACGGGGACTCTGGGACCTAAACCATTACAGCTGGGACCCCTTTCCCCACCAGGAAGTGCAGGTGCCCTGCAAGCTCATTCGAGAGCTAAACATTCTTCATTATCCTGTAGCATCCAGTGACGCTCACCTCTTCCTTGTCTTTGAAAGGAAAAGGTTGTAGATTTAAGAATTACGTGTTTTCCCCTCAAAAATTGGCAAGGGGATGAAAAGTGAATATAATATTTTGAAGCTTTATTTGAGATAAAATTGATTCTTAACTAAGTTTTATTTCAATATCCATGTTTTTCACTTGTAGTGACATAGGTCCTTTATGGGGAAGATTATCTTCGCTCTTTTTTTCTAATGTTACTACTATTGTTTTATATTGATTGAAATGTAAGTTTCAGAGGTGCAACAAATGACTGCAGATTTGCAATTGTGGGTCATCTACTTGTAAACCTAGATGTAGTGGAAGAAATACTGTTTAGAAGTTTGTTGGATTCTAGTACACAGTGAAATGCTGTTTATTGTCTTAGCTTTAAGAGCGTTTAATAAATAGCTGTCTCTCTTTTATAGCCACAGCTGTTGCAAATCCAATACTGTCATCCTTAGACGTTAAACGGATTTTATTTCAAAAAATTACTGATAAAGGAGATGAGTTGAAGAAAGCCTTTCACCTGCTCGACATCAGTAACAACATGACGGTGACAAAGAATGAACTGCGAAGAGTCATCACAACCTTCCTGCTGCCTCTCACGAGAGAACAGTTTCAAGATGTGCTGGCTCAGGTACAGTGCGGAAAAGACTCAGAATCACCCAGTATGGAGGAGGGGATGCAGTATATTACAGGAGCATGTAGCCTCGTCTGGCTTTCCCCCACTGTCCCAAATAGAGTTTTGTTTGTCACAGTTCAATTAAATTCTGGCAGGTTTGGGACAATTATCATGTGCTTGGGTCATATTTTGTGTGTAGCACTATTATAGTCGTATTAGTTTATTTTTTAAGGCTTCCATATAAAGAGTATTTGGTCAACATGTACTTTGAAACTTAGTATTTGCGTTTGTTCTTACCTGAAGTGGTTATTGAGCATCTACTGTATGCTCAACGCAACGCAGAGCAATCAGACAGTTTTCAGCCATTACTTCTTCAAATATTTTTCTCTACCTCTTCCTCTGCTCTCTCGGACATTTTGGTATTGTCCTCCAGACCCCTGAGGCTCTGTTCATTTTATAAAATATTTTTCCTATCTTTCGGATTGCATAATTTCCATTGATGTGTCTTCAAATTCACTGACTCTTTCTTAGCATCTCCATTCTGCTATGAAGTCCATTCAGTGAATTTTTAATTTTAGACATTGTGTTTTTCAGTTCTAGAATTTCTATTTGGTTCTTTTTTATAATTTCTATTTATCTGCTTAGATTTCTTGGTTTTTCTTTCAGTTATGAGCATATTTCTTTGGCTACATTGAGCGTAGTTAAAATAGCTGCCTAAAAGTCCTTATCTGGTAATTCTAACATCTGGATCATCTCAGGGTTGGCCTGCTTTGATTTTTTTTCCTTTGAGAAGGGTCACACTTCTCTGGTTCTTCATTTTTGAGCATATTTGGATAATATCCCAGACTAGTGTATTCAATAGCAATATAATGTGAGTCACATAAGTAATTTAAAATTTTCTAGTAGCTACATTACAAAAATAAAAAGAAATAGGTGAAATTAATTTTAATAATATTTTTATTTGACCAAATAAATATATCTGAAATATTATCTCATTTCAACATGTAAAATCACTATTTAAAATTGGTCATAAGATACTTTACATTCTTTTCTGTGTACGAAGTCTACAGAGCCTGGTATGTACTTTACACTTACAGAAGACCTCAGTGCTGACGCTAAATTTCCATTGGAAATACTTTATCTGTATTTAGATTTCATAAAATTTGCTGTTGAAATATTAGATTCATATACCCGGTCATTCCAAACTTAAAAGTTTTCCCAAAGCGAAGTTAATTTTAGAATTTAAATTAATTAACATTAAATTTAACAAGCAGTTCAGTTCATCAGTTACCCCAGCCACGTTTCCAGTGCTCAGGAGTCACATATGGCTCTGGCTGTTTATTAAACAGTGCAGTGCTAAACGTCACGAATGCTGTGCTGTGGAGACTCTGGATTCTGTTATATTCCTCTGAGACTTTTGATGCTTTTGCTTTGACAGGCAATTAACTTGCAAATTCTCCCTCACCTGCAGTGGGCAGTCATTCATATCTTGATTCAGCTTTCTGGTCTTTTGCTGGGACTCTTGAGTCTGACCTGCACACACATGGTTCAAGCGCCAGCTGGAAGTGTGGGCAGAGTGCGTACACAGAAAGTGTTGCTCCTCCTCTTTCAGGTTCCTCTCACTTTTTTTTTTGTTTGTTTTGTTTTGTTTTGTTTTGTTTTGCGGTACGCGGGCCTCTCACTGTTGTGGCCTCTACTGCTGCGGAGCACAGGCTCCGGACGCGCAGGCTCAGCAGCCATGGCTCACGGGCCCAGCCGCTCCGCGGCACGTGGGATCTTCCCGGACCGGGGCACGAACCCACGTCCCCTGCATTGGCAGGCGGACTCTCAACCACTGCGCCACCTGGGAAGCCCCGCTTTATTGTTTTCAAAAAAGCAATCACGAAGTCACAGACAAGTTGGAAGTATAGTGCAAAGAACAATTTTCCCTTTTGTAAGCCATTTGGGGGTAAGCTGCTCCATTACCTCAAATATTTCAGTGTATGTTTCCTTAAAACCAGAGCCCTGTTCTATATACCCACAATCCAGCTGTCATGGTAAGGATAGTGAGGTCAACTCATGTCAGCCATCTCAGCCCCAGGCCCCAGGTCACAATCATGCAGTGCATTTGGCAAGTCTCCTATAGTCTAGAACACTTCTTCAGTCTTTCCTTAGTCTTGAGGACCGTATAACACTTTGAAGATTGCAGGCCTGTTATTTTGTAGAGTGTCCCTGACTTGAGTTATCGGATGTTTCCTGATGACTAGATTCAGGCTTGCATCTTTGGCAGGAATGTCACAGAAATGATGCTGTGCTCTTCCCAACACTTTTATTAGCTTACAGGCGATTTCCGTCTGTCCCATTACTGCTGATGTTCACTGCAGTCACTTGATTAAGGTGGAATCTGTCAGACCCATCTGTCTTTTTCCTGGTGGAGTGCTCTTTATCTACTTTGTAATTAATAAGCATTTTGTGGGAGAAACTTTGAAACTATGTAGGTATGTCATTCCTCACCAAACTTTCATGTATTCATTTATTGTTTATATGTTTGCAGGGACTCAAGATTTCCTGTTTTATTAAGTGGGTTATGATCCGTTATTTTCATTATTTTTTTTGATGTTTCAATTGTCCCTAATATAGCCAGTAGGAGCCCCTTCATGCTGGTTTCTGTGTCCTTTTGACATGTCCCCATCATTCTTTGAGCACTTCCTTACTTTCTGATACAAGATATTGTAAACTCATCTGTACTTTCCTTGCCTCGGTCCCAGAATCATCCATTTCTCCAAAGAGCTCTGGTTCCTTTTAATGGGACCAAGTATCCAGAATCTGGGATCTGAGTATACCAGAGCTGCTCTTTGGTCCACGCCCTCTAAGTGGGCAGAGCCCTAGGGGATATATTCCATATATAAACATATATACACATTTACATACATTTACATCTACATGTATTTCTATATCAGTCTATATATTGAAAACCGTGAGTTCACACCAATACCGCCAATTCTAACCCAGTACCTCAGGGTTCATTGTAATTTTCTCACTTTCTATGTTTGTAACTACTGTTTCAGACAATGAGCCGCTTGGCTTCTGTGTTCTGAGTATATTCACTTATTTGATCAACCTCCCTGGCATGTGACTCATCTCCCATGTCCACCACCTCCACCCCCAGGTGGATGCCCTCTTCCTCCAACCCTGCTCTGGAGCACGGCTCCCCCATGTTGCAGACGCCACTTTTGTCTGCCCCATCTAGTGACTGTAGGACTGAATTGTGAGGGAACAGACAGGGAAGGAGGGAAGGGGAGGAATGATGAAGAGCTTTACTCTTTTTCTTTTGAAAAATGTATCCCCTTTATTCACTTCCAGAATTTCACAAATAGTATATATTGATTCTTTTACGTATCACCTTTTATTGTATCTGCATTTTAAATAAAAGCTTTATAAAGATGAAATTCACATATCATAAAATTCACCATTCAAAAATGGACAAGTTCCTGGTTTTTCATATATTCACAGAGTTGTGCAACCATCACCACCATCTAATTCCAGAATATTTTATCACCCCCAAAAGAAACTTTGTATTCATTAGCAGTCACTCCCCACTCCCCTTCCCCTAATCCCTGACATCCATTAATCTATTGATACCTTAAGTCACAATAGATTGCCTATTCTGGAGAGTTCATAAAATGGAATAATACAATATATGATCTTTTGTAACTGGCTTCTTTCACTAAGCATAATGTTTAGTTATGCTAAGCATCCATGTTATAGCATGAATCAGTATTTCATTCCTCATTATGGCTGAATAATATTCCACTGCATGGATACACCGCACTTTATCATCAGTTGATGGATCTTTGGGTTATTTCCACTTTTTGGCTTTTGTGAACAGTGCTGCTGTACAAGTTTTTATGCGGACATATGTTTTCACTTCTCTCGGGTACATACCTAGGAGCGGAATTGCCGTGTCATATGGTAATGTTCTCTTGCTTTTAAAGAACCTTTGTCCTCACAAATATCACGTTTCCTCATAACCTTGATTTAACTGTTCCTTTCTTTATACAAAATGGAAAGTTAAAATATTATTTCCTGCTGTTAGCTCCCTGTATTCATGATCTAATCTTAATTTAAAATTTGGACAGCCTTCCCAAGCTAATCAGCTATGCAGGAAGAGGAAAAGTACAGAAGATGTGAAATGTGCATCCGTTTTTTAAAAGCTACATCTGTTTTTAAAAGAAGTCACTGAGAACTGTAGAACTTCAGAGACTTTAAAAAACAGGTTCTGATAGTCTATCTTATAATCAGGACGTTTTTCTAGAACCTTGAGCTCCTGTGACCCCCTCCTGTGTAAACCAAGGAGACTGCAGTGTGGTGCCTTTTCAGGAGGCCAGGTTCATTGGGAATGAAGGGCAGGAGTTCTCTTCCTAATCCCTGGAGTTCACAGTGTGTGTCCCTTTTCTAGATCTTTTCATGACTAATCCAGGTGGTGATACAAACTTTCTTTTTCAATAGTTAATATAAGCTTAACTGGAAATATATAAAACAGGTAAAATATTTCATGGGAATCTCACCCTTAAAATTAGAAAAGAATTTTCCAGTTATAGTGAATTTACTTTAGCTTTAATTTTATTTCAAGAACCATGTCAAGAATGTTTGAACGTCAGGGTGTTTTGATGATTGATCAGGGCAAGAGTGATGAGGAGGCATTGCTTGTAACCTGCCCTATACCTTAGTTTCATTAATAGTAAAACGAATTTTTTAAAAATGTGGCTTCAGTCTCTGAATATTAATATAAGCATTTTAAAAGATGTTGAATTGGTAAATAGATTCCAGAGAAACTGAAAGCATTTCCACTAAGATCAGGAACAAGACAAGGTTGTCCACTCTCACCACGCTTATTCAACATAGTTTTGGAAGTTTTGGCCACAGCAATCAGAGAAGAAAAAGAAAGAAAAGGAATCCAAATAGGAAAAGAAGAAGTAAAGCTGTCACTGTTTGCAGATGACGTGATACTATACATAGAGAATCCTAAAGATGCTACCAGAAAACTACTAGAGCTAATCAATGAATTTGGTAAAGTAGCAGGATACAAAATTAATGCACAGAAAGCTCTGGCATTCTTATACACTAATGATGAAAAATCTGAAAGTGAAATTAAGAAAACACTCCCATTTACCATTGCAACAAAATGAATAAAATATCTAGGAATAAACCTACCTAAGGAGACAAAAGACATGTGTGCAGAAAATTATAAGACACTGATGAAAGAAATTAAAGATGATACAAATAGATGGAGAGATATACCATGTTCTTGGATTGGAAGAATCAACGTTGTGAAAATGACTCTACTACCCAAAGCAATCTACAGATTCAATGCAATCCCTATCAGACTACCACTGGCATTTTTCACAGAACTAGAACAAAAAATTTCACAATTTGTATGGAAACACAAAAGACCCCGAATAGCCAAAGCAATCTTGAGAACGAAAAATGGAGCTGGAGGAATCAGGCTCCCTGACTTCAGACTATACTACAAAGCTACAGTAATCAAGACAGTATGGTACTGGCACAAAAACAGAAATATAGATCAATGGAACAGGATAGAAAGCCCAGAGATAAACCCTCGCACATATGCTCACCTTATCTTGATAAAGGAGGCAAGAATATACAGTGCAGAAAAGACAGTCTCTTCAATAAGTGGTGCTTGGAAAACTGGACAGGTACGTGTAAAAGTATGAAATTAGAACACTCCCTAACACTGTACACAAAAATAAACTCAAAATGGATTAAAGACCTAAATGTAAGGCCAGACACTATCAAACTCCTAGAGACAAACATAGGCAGAACGCTCTATGACATAAATCACAGCAAGATCCTTTTTGACCCATCTCCTAGAGATATGGAAATAAAAACCAAAATAAACAAATGGGACCTAATGAAACTTCAAAGCTTTTGCACAGCAAAGGAAACCATAAACAAGACCAAAAGACAACCCTCAGAATGGGAGAAAATATTTGCAAATGAAGCAACTGACAAAGGATTAATCTCCAAAATTTACAAGCAGCTCATGCAGCTCAATAACAGAAAAACAAACAACCCAATCCAAAAATGGGCAGAAGACCTAAATAGACATTTCTCCAAAGAAGATATACATACAGATTGCCAACAAACACATGAAAGAATGCTCAATATCATTAATCATTAGAGAAGTGCAAATCAAAACTACAATGAGGGGCTTCCTTGGTGGTGCAGTGGTTGAGAGTCTGCCTGCCGATGCAGGGGACACGGGTTCGTGCCCTGGTCTGGGAGGATCCCACGTGCCACGGAGCGGCTGGGCCCGTGAGCCATGGCCGCTGAGCCTGTGCGTCCGGAGCCTGTGCTCCGCGACGGGAGAGTTCACAACAGTGAGAGGCCCGCGTACTGCGAAAAAAAAAAACAAACTACAAATAGAATTACCATACGACCCAGCAATCCCACTACTGGGCATGTATCCTGAGAAAACCATAATTCAAAAAGAGTCATGTACCACAATGTTTACTGCAGCTCTATTTACAATAGCCAGGACATGGAAACAACCTTAGTGTCCATTGACAGATGAATGGATAAAGAAGATGTGGTATATATATACAATGGAATATTACTCAGCCATAAAAAGAAGCAAAATTGAGTTATTTGTAGTGAGGTGGATGGACCTAGAGTCTGTCATACAGAGTGAAGTAAGTCAGAAAGAGAAAAACAAATACCGTATGCTAACACATATATATGGAATCTAGAAAAAAAAAAAAAAAGGTCATGAAGTACCTAGGGGTAAGATGGGAATAAAGACACAGACCTACTAGAGCATGGACTTGAGGGTATGGGGAGGGGGAAGGGTAAGCTGTGACAAAGTGAGAGAGTGGCATGGACATATATACACTACCAAACGTAAAATAGATAGCTAGTGGGAAGCAGCCACATAGCACAGGGAGATCAGCTAGGTAGTTTGTGACCACCTAGAGAGGTGGGATAGGGAGGGTGGGAGGGAGGGAGACACAAGAGGGAAGAGATATGGGAACATGTGTATATGTATCACTGATTCACTTTGTTATAAAGCAGAAATTAACATGCCATTGTAAAGCAATTATACTCCAATAAAGATGTTAAAAAATATTTAAAACATACAATAAAAAAAAATGTGGCTCCAGTGTCTGAATATTAATGTAAACATTTTAAAAGAAGTTGAATTGGTAAGTAGATTCCAGAGAAGGAAAACTAAGTTCTGTTCTGGTCCTGGTGGTTGTGCTGGGTTGGGGAAAGAGAAGTCTTTGAAGGTACTTATCAGCATACTGGATGTGGATTTACAAACTACACTCCCCCAGCCCCAGTCTAAGAATTGCTTTCAGTGATTCATCAGTGGACGGTTTTGATTCTCCAACCTTTTTGCCAGAATAGCAAATACTGGAGAGGTGATTTGGGTTGTCTAAGTGCTTAGTTTTGTAGACCAGTCATTGCAAATGTGTATCTGCCACATTAGAATTTGCATTAGACTATAAGTAGCAACATGAAATGTGACAAAAGCTTCAATAGATTTTTAAATTTTTTATTTATTTATTTGTTATTTATTTTTGGCTGCTTTGGATCTTAGTTGCTGTGCGCAGGCTTTCTCTAGTTGCGGCGAGTGGGGGCTACTCTTCATTGCGGTGTGCGGGCTTCTCATTGCGGTGGCTTCTCTTGTTGCGGAGCACGGGCTCTAGATGCACGGGCTTCAGTAGTTGCAGCATGCGGGCTCAGTACTTGTGGCTCGCAGGCTCTAGAGTGCAGGCTCAGTAGTTGTGGTGCACAGGCTTAGTTGCTCCACGGCATGTGGGATCTTCCTGGACCAGGGATGGAACCCGTGTCTCCTGCATTGGCAGGTGGATTCTTAACCACTGTGCTACCAGGGAAGTCCCAGCTTCAATAGATTGATGGATTTTAAGGCAGGGTGGTTAGTGTAGTGAGATGAACTTGGGCTCTGGAGTCACACATTTCTGTGACTAAATGACTGAATGGCAGTGCCATGCAGGGAGGTCACACCTCTGCTCTGTGAAATGTGGAAAATTTCAACCTCCTCAGAAGGTAGTTTGGGGCTAAATGAGTTAAAACCAAGAGCAGTGCCTGTGCCCATTTATAAAGTATGAGCTCTCCAAATGTAAGTTTCTTCCCTTCCGTGTTAACTCTTATCACTACCAAGACCAGGAGGGCATCCAGTCCGGGAAACTGCACGTTTAAGCTGTTCTTGACCTTCTTCTGTAAAACTAGGGAACCTTTGAAGCGTCTATACCCAAATTATATCTACTAAAAAATGCCCTATCAGAAATCCAAGTCCTGGGTGTCCTTTCCAGGAAAAGGCTTCATTCACAAAGGCCTACCCTGTGAGCCACTCTCCCTCTGGGCCCATTTCCTAGTTATGCATATTTTTAATAGCAAGGAGAAATTTGTCCTTTGGGGAAGACTGAGATAACCGTGCTAGGCTTTGAGGCTGGAATTTTAAGGGTTAAGTAAATATCAAATTTGGTTGTGTAGGCTTGGGAGCCATTCAGCTGTATGGGAAATTGTACTTTGTGTATCTGCATGAAGCTTAATAAAATATATTTATATTGATTATATATTTATTTTAATTTTAATTTCATAATGCTTTTTTGGGGGAAATAATTATTTTCACTTTAAAAAAAAATTGACATTTTATTTAAAAGTAATTTCAAACCTCCAGAAAATTTGTAAGGATAAGACTGGTACAAACAGTAGCCATATACCCTTTACCCAGATTTGACAGTTGTGAACATTTAGCCTCGTTTGCTTCTCCCGTGAATTTTCATTCATACATATATGCAAATAATATATTCGAAATACACAATGTGTACATAATTTTTTTCTGAACCGTTTAAGAGGATGTTGCTTATATTAATGGTTCTTTAATTCTAAATACTTCAGTGTGTATTTCCTTAAGAATAAGAACTCTTCTCTTACATAATCACAGTACAGTTAACAACTTCAGTAAACTAAACATTGAGATAATAATACTTTAATTTAACCTATAGTCCATATTAACCCACTTGACCCAATGATGTCCTTTATAGAATTTTAGATTTGAAAATGATTTTTTTCTACCTTGAAACTATATGAATGTACAGTAAGTACACATGACACTCAGAGGGTTAATTATGCTGTGGCCTCAGACTTTTGGGAAATATATATATATATATATATATATATATATATATATATTTATTTATTTATTTATACATATACACATATATAAAAAGGCATATACACATATATAAAAATACATATACATATATAACATATATATTAGAATATATTTCTATTAATTTTACTTATCTTTTAGATAGACCTAGATTTTAGGTAATTTTGTAGGCAACTTGTTGGCTTTTAACTGAGCACAGACTGGCATTCTGGCATTCATGCTGCTTGTGCTTAGTTTGCTGAGGGTGCATGTCAACTCAGACACCTGGATTGAACAGCTGTGAATGTTACTGGAATGCCCATCCCACTAAGAATGTCCTGCCTTACATCATGAAACCTACTGTGCTGTCCACTGCTTGGATCTGAATTCTCTAATGGGCTGTTCTTCTTGTTTGGGCGTAGATCCGTCTCACCAGCTCTGGTGCCCTTCCGTACCTTGTATTCCTGTCCAGATTTGGTGGAGTTGACCTGAATATAAATGTTATAAAGAGGTAAGTTTTTTTTTCCTCATATGCAAATGTGAAACTTGAAATGATAAGAAATAGGACACAAGGTCATTAGAGGTAATCATGTCAACAGATATAATCCTCAGTCAAAAGTTTTATTCAGAGAAGATTCTAATGTCTAAATGAGACGTATTTCAGAATAAGAGAAATAATATTGTATTAAAATTGGAAACATAGAAGATTAAAACCAGACTAACATATTTTATATGCAATGCATTTCATATTTGGAAATAAGGAATTTAAATTGTTTTTTTTTTTTTTTTGGCTGTGCCATGTGGCTTGCGGGATCTTAGTACCCCGACCAGGGATTGAACCCAGGCCCCGGCAGTGAAAGCACTGAGTCCTACCCACTGGACCGCCAGGAGATTCCCTGGAAATAAGGAGTTTAAACTTTGAAGTAGAAGTATTAAGATGCCAACTTTTAAATTTGCTTGTTTTTATACATTTTAATGTCTTTCATTGGGTAGTGATCATATTTTGGTAGCTAGAAATGAAATATTTTTAAAAAGATCTTTGTATGAGCTCCTCTGTATTTCATAACTGTAGCATGAGCATGAAGCTCATTTGCTTTATGTGCAAAACGAGAGAGTTAAAGTATGAACTTTAATGTCTCTATAAGCTGTAAGGTTCTTTGATTCTAGTGTATGATGTAGGAAATATTGTTTTAGTAAAAAAAAATTATTTACTCAGATTATCTGACTCTAAATGGGTAAGCTTCATTTTCTCAGGAGTTGTGTAAACAATTATAAAACAATTAAATTTGGTTCTGAAATATTAGCAAAGTTTGGTATTACAGCTTTCGTGATTGCATCCATCCTGGATGCAGCTGAGCTGTAAGACTTAGTGTAGCAGTGTGCAGCGGGGAGGAGGAGTTGATGTTCACTGGGTGTAGAGTTTCAGTTTTGTAAGGTGAGTCCCAGAGATCTGTTGCACAGCAGTGTGAATATATTAACATTACTGAGCTGTATATTAAAAATGGTTAAGATGGTAACTTATGTGGTTTTTTGTTACCACAATTAAAAAAATAAAAGAATTAGTGCAGCAGCTCCAACAAGAATGACAAGGTATTATCCGCTCCACGATGTGGGACTTCTTTGTGCTCTGATCAGTTGATGTTCCATAAGTGGTGAACTAGGAAAACTTCCAGGCTCACTCAGAAGGACCACTGGTCTTTTTATAGGCTCTATATTCATGCTCTTGACTTAAAACCATCCGCATTTGTGGAATAAGTAATCTAGTTTGAATATTCTTTGCTGAAAAACTCAACAGTTGGAAATGCTACAACTCAACAGTTGGAAAAGCTAATAATTTGAGATGAAGAGTATCATAAGTTACTTCCTTAAACATAAAAGACTAAATATTTAAACTAAATTTGAAAGATTTCTGACTTACACATGAAGCTAAATTCTCTCTATTGTTGAAGACCACGAATTACAGTGAATAGAAACTTCTCTTTCTAGTACTATGGTAGGCTACCTCCATGAAAAACACTGCCACTGAAAACTACTAAAATGACGGATAGAAGGTAAAATATTTTAATACATTACTGAGCTGGCAAGAAGGTAATTCTCAGAGGCTAAACATGCAGTAAAAATTGGAATCCAGAGAAGGGAGCTTTCTATAAAGCCAGTTTTTACCCTGAAGGTATTGGCCAAATCTTGGTGAATTTGTGTTTCAGTTTTGTGGGCTATTTGGAGTGAAGGGGACAAGAGTCAAAACCTTCAGGGTCTGCCCAAGGTGGAGAAACCTAAGGGAAGACCAGTACAGGCGCAGTTGGCACCCCTATACCCTCTTGTTAGGATAATCTACAAAATATAAACCTGCATGGCAGAAGGGCACAAGGAAACCTACCAGTTTCAACACTGGCATTAGGTGAACAGGGGAAAACTTGTCATCACAAGTCAATTCATGAAAATCTGTGTCTAAAATAATGCTACGTGTGTGGTCTGAAAAGTCTCAGGCTAGGAATTTACTTAAAACTGGTCCTGGACTGGGTGTGCCCTTCTGTGGAGGAATACATCTACAACATAGCCCTTAAAGAAAACCACAGATAAAGTGTCACACAAAAAGCCTTGAGTACATATGAAGAGACAAAGACTGAGGACCGCAAACAAATGGAAATCATATCCAGTGGAATCAGGTCTCCAAACACTTGGGTTATTGGAACTATCAGATACAGAATCTAAAAGTAGTGTTTTAATATCTTTAAAGAAATGAAAGAATGGATTCGATATATGAGTGCAAAACAAGAGGCAATTGAAGAAGTACAAAATGCAACTCTTGGTATTGAAAGATACAATCATTATAGAATAAAATTCAGCGGATGGTGAAAACAGTGGCTTCAACACAGCTGAAAAGGGCATTAGTGGAGTGGAAAATAGATCTGAAGATATTATCCAGAATGCAGCACAGAAACAGAGAGAGATACCAAACTTGGAGAATAAGAGTATAAGAGACATAGGAGGTGGGAAGAGAAGGCCCAACAATACTTCTTACTGGATTTCCAGATACGTCAGAGAAAGAGTAGGACAGAGATTATATTTGAAAAGGTAATGGGTTAGGATCTCAAGCCAGATAAATAAAAAGGAATGCCCATCTAGACATATCATGGTAAAGCAGCAGAACATCAGCATCAAAGAGAAAATATTAAAGGCAGTGAGAAGAAAAAGGGAATTGACTTCAGAGGAGTGACAGTTAGACTGACACTGATGTCTCAACAGTGACAATGAAAGGTATGAGACTGTGGGAAAATGTCTTCAGTGCACTAAAATATTTGCCATCCTAGAATTTTATACTATGTTTGTAAGAATAAGGATGAGAACTTTTTCTGTGGGAACCCCTGAGAGCCTCTCCTCTTCTTGCCATGGTATCTGCTCATCCACTGGTATCACAGTATTTGGAAAAGGAAGACACATCTGGCACCTTTGCCTATGGTGTTCAAGGTTACTTTTCACCTAGATCTTGTATACTCTCTTCACACTGACTTGTATGAAAATGAGGCAGCCTGTGCATTGAATTACCCGGTCATTAGACTTGGGCTAAATCTTAGGACATTGACAGATTTGCAGCTCAAATTCCCTGAATTGGTGGTGGGGGGACTTATTATTGTGGTCACAGCACTTCCCTTCTGGAAATATGGTTCAAGAGGTCATATTTTGTATCAGCCGAAACTTGATGCCCTTGACAACGTAGAGTGAACACAACACAGAAGAGGTATGCCGTCTGTTCTGTCCTGGCCATCTCAGCCTCACCAGAACTGTCTAATGTGAGGAAGTTACTGAATGTGCTACGGTGGTTGATTAAGTTGGAAGCAACATGAAAATTAAAGAGGATATTTTGCATCAGAAGACATTTAGGACCTGGAACGATATCAAGAAGTCTATGCCTCTGAGTGTATGTGAGCTGGTAAGGACAAAATGTGGAGCTGCCCTTGAATCTGCCATGGATGACCTCACATCATCTGTAATAATGGTAGTATCATCAGTCACCCTTCAGAAACATCCAAGGAATTATTCTATTTAAAATGAGTAAATTGAACCTTTGAGATTTGCTTCTGATGGACATGTCGAACATTTCTGCTTATGGACCAAGAGTGTTTCCCATTTCGATAACCCGTGTGGCACTCAGCACAATGCTACCTCCCTGAAGAATAACTACAGCCTTCCACATACAGAGCAATCGAAAGAGATCTTAGCAGAAGTTTTTGAAAGCTTTCTGAGCGCCATACAGAAAGATTCACGACAGAGTTCTGAAGAGCTTACTGAAGAGCCTGAGAATTACGTTGAAACAAAATTCATTCACAAATATGTGCAGGGTGTCGATGCATTGTTTATAAGGCAAAGCAACAAGAATCAAGGAATTTTTCCCTGTACTTACATCCAGTTTCTTTAATTCAGCATCAATATTTCCTTCATTCAAATATCAACCTTTAGCCATATGTGGCATATATTACAACTAGCTGTCACCTGTGAAAACTTATCGTTCACCGTGGCTTAGACATGAGGTAGAACACAACCGACCTTCCTGTGTAATGTCACATTTCAGACATCAACATGTAGGGCCAACTGAACTATGGAAGAGTGTGTAAAAGAAGAAAGAAACTGCATGGATCTGATTCTAAGAAGTTAAAAAACAATACACATAAAAAGGAGACTGTGGACTGTGTCAGATACAGACTGATGCCCTATTTCCCTCCTCTCCCTTATTAGCCATTTTGTGACCATGTACTTTGCCCTCAAGTCTCAAATCTGATAACTGAGTTTTTGCTCTCTTTTTCTATTCTAAAATCTTCCCTTGGTTACCTGATGACCGTAACCAGCTTTATTTGTCCAAGTTTCCGGGGCCTCATGTCCTCCCTCCCTCCTCCCACAAAGTTTCTAAGTAGATCTATTATTGCTCTGACAATGCTGAAAAAAACATTCATTCACAAGACCATGTATTGCAACATTCCTTGGCCAGGCCAGGTACCACAAATTCAAGCGGATAAAGCAAACAACAGCGGTAGAACATCCGTCAACAGAGCAGATGTGAAGTTGGCTCTAGGCAGGTAGCCTGGGTAGGTTGAGAAAAAAGGAGGAAAGAAGGCTTTTGGCCAAGAGAAGCAGGATTTGGAGGGGAAAAATTGTTTGCTACAAAGAAACAAGCAGCTAAAGGCACTCCAGTAAAGGAACCGATTCAAACAAAAGAAAAGAAGCCTTCTGCACAACATCTTGAATTTCTATGCCTCTGAAGGTCAGTTCGGTGTGGACGGCTTCTTTGAATTTCTGAAGATTAAAGACATGATAGAAGTCACTGAGGAACATTTAAAAAAATAAAGACGGAGGGTGAAATACAGACATTTCAGACAAAAACTGAGACAGTTTACCTCCTACAGATCTTGACTGAAGGGAATCATAAAAGATATGCTAAACGGCAGAAGGCAAGTGACCCTATGGTACCCGGTACCCACAAGGCCCTCTGTGCCCTGCTGGCGTCCCTGACAGGCGCCCTCTGCTCTCCTCTTCCTTCACTGTGTCCTCTTCTTGTTGCTCCCGTCTTAGGGCTCTTGACCGGTGGTTCCCCAGTGTCCGCAGCGCTTCTCCCCCAAATAAAGCTGTAGGTCACTCGGCCCACACCCATGAGGTTAACACACAAATGTGATTTTCTCATTCTAGAACGTGAGCTCCACGAGGGCAGGCAGCTTTATCAGTTTTATTTATGGATGTATCCCAAGCCCCTAGGGCCATGTTTGGCACATAGTGGGTGCTTAATATATATTTGTTGAATAAGTGGATGGAAAAACAGCAATGACAGCCAACAACCGACACGTATAGTCAGCAACCTGGATGACTCTCGCAGACATAATATCTAGTGAAGGAGGAAGAAACATACGAATGCTTCTGTTCATATGTGAAGTTCAAATCCAGACGAACTGAACTGTATTGTTTAGGGATACATACCTAGGTGGTAAAATTATAACAAAATAAAAGTAAATGATATCTTAAGTGCTAGGAGGAGAGGAAATACTATGATTGGAGAAGGGCAAATGGGAGCCTCTTTTGTTTGGCTTTAATTCTTGATTTGAGTAATTGTTAAACAGGTGTTTGCCTTAATTGTAAGTAAACTATGCATAGGTACTGTATGTACTTTTCTGCGTAAAGGTTATATCTCACAATAGCAATTTAAAACTCAATGAATTTAATAAACATATTAGACACAGCTAAAGAAATAAGTGAACTGGAAGATCGGTCAGAAAACATTAGCCAGAATGTAGCAGAGACATAAACGATGTCATTGGAGCTCTGTAAAGAGAGCAATGAGAGATGGGACAGGTAATAGCCAAAGAAACAATGGCTGAGGATTTTCCAGAACTGATGATGAAAAGTGCTATCCTGCAGATTCAAGAAGGCAAATCTCAAAAAGGATTTAAAACGGGTGGGGGCAGAACCCCAAAGACCAAGAGATCTTAAAGGAAGCCAAAGGGCAGCATTTACACAAAAGTGACTTCTGAGTTGTAACAATGGGAGCCAGGTGAAGAGTGGATTAAAAACTACGATGTGTTGGAAGAAAATCACTGCCACCCCAGAACTGTGCATCTAAAGAAAATATCTTTCACTATTTTAAATATTGAAGTTAAGACATTCTCAAACAAAGATGGATTTGGCCCCCCAACAGGCCCAGAAGAAGAAACTCTAAGGGTATACCTTAGATAGAAGGAAAGTGATCCAGATGGAAGGTTTGAGATGATGCAAGAAGGGTTGCTGGGCTTCCCTGGTGGCGCAGTGGTTGAGAGTCCGCCTGCCGATGCAGGGGACACGGGTTCGTGCCCCGGTCCGGGAGGATCCCACATGCCGCGGAGCGGCTGGGCCTGTGAGCCATGGCCGCCGAGCCTACGCTTCCGGAGCCTGTGCTCCGCAACGGGAGAGGCCACAACAGTGAGAGGCCCGCGTACCGCAAAAAAAAAAAAAAAAAGAAGGGTTGCTGAGGGAAGATGGCTGAACACCTGGCAAGTACAGGACACACTCATGACTGTAGGGAATACTGATGGCTTCTGGAATTTAAAAATAGGATAGAATTAGAACACATGATAGTAGTAATATATAAATTGAGAGGAGGGACTGGAGTTAAATGTTCTGGAGTTGGTACATTGTCCAGTCAGAAGATGAAAGTTCTGATTAACTTGAGTCTTTGAAAATTATGCTGGTTGTAATTTCCAGAGCAATTACTACAAGTCTAAAAGTGGAGTGTATAATTCTGAAACTTATAGAGGCACAAAAATGGAATGATAAAAATGGTATCAACCCAAAAGAAGGCAAGAAGCAGCAGAATAGGCAGGAAAAATAGAAATCCTGAATATATCAGTAATTATAATAAATATACCACTTGAAAGACAAAGATAACAGATAGTAAAGTCCACAAGAGAAAAACCTAAACATAGTTTTATAGAAAGGTTAAAAGTGAAAGGATTTAAAAAGACATACTATTCAAATAAATACTAATCTAAAGAAAGCTGGCATCACTAAGTTAATATCAGACAGTAGACGGGGCTCCCCTGAGGCAGATACTGAGATGGAGTTTGGGGTACACACTTCCCTGTGAAGGGAAGAGGACTGGAGCCAGACTGGGCAGAGGAGCTGCCGCTGGGGCTGAGGAAGCCTTGACCAAATGCAGAGGAGGGAGGGAGGGGGCTGAGGTGGGGAGGGGCGGCCTCCTATGCCCACTGGGGCAGTGGCACTTCTCCATTTCTTCAGCTGATGGTGGGCACACAGCTGTAAAAAGTCAGGTATGTATGATTTTTATTCCTTAGATCTTAAACATATGTTACAAATAGTGTTTTGTATCTCTTCAATACATAATTAAAACCATATTAAAAAAAAAAAAAAAAGGGCTTCCCTGGTGGCACAGTGGTTGAGAGTCCGCATGCCAATGCAGGGGACACGGGTTCGTGCCCCGGTCCGGGAAGATCCCACATGCCGCGGAGGGACTAGGCGCATGA